TAATAATAATAATAATAATAATAATAATAAATATATAATAAAAGTGACGATCTCAAAAACATTGTCTTAACACGGCTGGATCCTCACATCTGCTTCAGGCAGCCACACCACAGGGGGAAAACCCGTCTCACAGATGTGCAGTTGGGTAGGGAGGGCCTCCCAGACCCCGGAAGGGTGCCGGGGACCCACGCAACTCCTTGGACCACGGAGCACTACTGCCCAGGAGTGGCCTCCCAGCTCAGTGCCGTGACAGAGTGAGAAGTGAAACTCGGGCCCCTGGCCCCCCAGCTCACCCCTCGGCTGCCCCGGGAAGCGAAGCCGGGACTCACCTCTCCGTTGAGGTAGATGAGGTCGAAGGCGTACAAACACACCTGCACCTGGATCTCCGCTGCATCCACCTCCTGGGTTGGGGCAGACAGCAGGGGTGGGGAGAGGTGAGTCGGGCCTGACTGGGCCCCTCCCATCCTGCCTGAGGCAGACACTGTCGTCACCTACCACCCTCCCCCGCTCCCACCTAACGGGCCACACAGCTGTGAGGGCGGCAATGCTGCCAGCCCCGGACACCGAACTGCGATGGCTCTCAGCTGACCCCAACCTCTTCCCCTTTGTCAGGTATTTGCTCTCTCAGCCTCCCTTGCAGCTAATGGTGGTGACATGACACAATGCTGGCCAATGAGAATAAATAAGTTTGCTGGGGTGTAGGCTGTGGGAGCTCCTGGAACAGACCTTCTTTCATAATAAAACACAGAGATGGAGCCCTAGCTGGTTTGGCTCAGTGGATAGAGCATCGGCCTGCAGACTGAAGGGTCCCAGGTTCGATTCAGGTCAAGGGCATATGCCTGGGGTTGCAGGCTCGATCCCCAGTAGGGGGCGTGCAGGAGGCAGCTGATCCATGATTCTCTCTCATCATTGATGTTTCTATCTCTCTCTCCCTCTCCCTTCCTCTCTGAAATCAATAAAAATATATTTTAAAAAAACAAAACACAGAGATGTAGGCAAATAGCTCTTCCTGCTTTCTACTTGGCCTGCTGGGGTGAGGATGCAATGGCTGGAGCTGTGGCAGCCATATTGCACAGGCTGAGACCTGCGTCCTGACGAACACTGACCCTCTGGGGACTGGGCAGGACGGGGAGGAAGATGCGGGCGGGCGGGGCCATGGCAGGCAGTGAAGGGGGCTGAGGCTACCTTGCGTTTGCGGGTGGTGAGCACTTGGAACGGCTGTATCTGCTTCTTCTCCCGGTCCCAAGCCACGGCTTCTGTGTCCAGGATGAAAGATGTGACTGACGGGAGTTTAATCTGAAAGTAGAAGAGGGAGCCCAGGGCTGGTGAGAGGGGAGGCCGAGGCCAAAAGGCAGACTCGGGGAAACAAATGTCCTTTTCCTGCTGTAGCTCTCAAGCTCCACTGACCACTTGGAACCGAACTCAGAGACACGTGCACACAGACCCATATCCCGGGCTGCACCGAGCTGGCCTGGACCCACCCGGTTCCTTGCAGCAGTCACTGCAGCCCCCGCCGGAGGGGAGAGAGAGAAGGGGGGTGGCAGACACCCACCTTGGGGATGCGGCTGATGATGTCCGGGTACTTTCCGGTATTGTCTTCCTGATTCCTGCTGAAGATCTTCACCTCCCCGCCCTCCAGAAAAT